GATTCTAAGAAACATTTTGGTAGTGCTGGAGGAGCAGGAGCAGCAGTGCCCGTGCTGGTCCATCCTGCTGCAGTGACTCCTGGTGGCAGCTCCTGCCCCTGGCTGCCCCGGCGGGTCGGAGGGGGGACTCAGGCTGGAGCCCAGACCCGTGGCTGAGTCCCAGGAGCTCTGCCCTGCCCGGCAGGCAGAGTTGGGGGGCAGGGCCTGCGTGGCACCCCGGTGCCCTCCAGGGCTCCCTGCTGTCCCTGGGCTGCTGACCAGGGCCACCCAAACCGGAGAACCGTCCAGCCTTCCCCCACGTGCTTCCCCTCTCCCCACCCCAGAAGCCCATTGATGGAGATGGACACCACTGGTGATGTCTTCTCCTGCAGCTGCTGTAAATCAAGCAAGCAGCAGTTCAGAGGCCCTGTGAGTCTGTAACTTCATAAGTTCAAATATGATTCTTTGTTTTAAAACATTTTTTCTGCTTACTGTCTAGTGGGTGTTAGCCTCTAAATTTCTTCATTCTCTTCTGTTCGCTCTGACAGGTCTCTGTCGCTTTTCTTTTGCTAACCCTACTTGCTCCTCTTTTGTTGTCTTGATTTGACTCTGTCTGAGACTTCAGCCAGTGGTTCCTGGTGCTCTCTGTGGGCCCATGGGACTGATCCTGTTTTTCACCAGCCGTGCCTCAGAGCGGTACCTCGGGTTCTCTGCTCTAACATGTCTTACCCTGGGGCACAGTGTCCTGGGGAGATCCCAGTTTCTGATTCCAAGCTGATTTAGGAGCTCATAGCCACACTTTGCCCCTTCTGTGCTCTCTGCTTTGTTCCCATCTACTGCAGGAGCCTCACCTGGCAGCAGACACCACCACGGGGAGAGGTGTGTGCCCCTGGTCCTGAGCACAGGCCCAGCAGCTCTCTTCCCACACCAGGGTCCCACTGGCAGGCTCCCTTGGGACTGTCCTGGGCCCAGGGCCAGCGTGAGCTCCCCCAGACTTGTGCCCTGCTCCCGGGGACAGCCATGGGAAAGGGCCCCTGTGGAAAATGGGTATGTTGGGGGGACAGGGCAGGGCAGGTTTGCTGGCACAGTTTGGTGTGGGTCTGTGTGTGGGGTGTGTGGCCGTGTGGTGTCAGTGACCTGCTGGGCAAGTTTTAGGGTAAAATCCCCTAGAAGTTGGAGCAGCCCCTTTTCAGATGGAGTTTGAGAGCAGTGACTGTTTGACTTGTTCATTAGCTGTCAGGAGCAGGCTTTTGACAGCAGCCTTTGCATGTCTGGAAGGAGGGAGAAGCTGATGCTGCTGGTGCCTGGGCAGTGCTGGTTGTACACATGAACTACAGCTGCAAACTCACTAATCTGCTGGGTGAGCTATGAAGGAATCACATTCTTCCAGCATGTGGATTTTAACCAAAGTAGCAATGTGCAGCTGGCTTAGAGAGGAAAAGTTCACAGCAGCTATTTTTAGGTGTCTAATTTAGATGTTCTGGATCTCTTTGCATTCTCCATTACCTAAGCAGAGAGCCCAGACATTGATATGGGTGTCAGTCAGAAGTACCTCATGGGTCTTTTGTGGGATTAAATGAGTTTGCAGGTGTAAGCTTGCTCCCATCTCAGAACCCTAACAAATCTTAGTCTCTGTCACCCTGTCCTCCTTTGCCCCCCCAGTGTGACTAGCCCCAGGAGGCTTTGTAGGTTAGAGAACTTCAGGAGAACTGTGGCAGGAGGTTTGTGATACAGGGAGGTTAATAATCAGCAGGGCTGTTAAGAGGCTTAGGGCACTTACGCTGGATTTTGAAGCATCCTGAGCCACTGAGAAAGGTTTCCACTGCACTGTTAGAAAGGTGGGTATTTGTAGCCTTCTAATGTGTTGGGAGGGTGTTTACGACCCATGGAAGTACTTAGTGCTTTTAAATTTGGGGATTCTACAGAACCATGGTTTAGTGGCCAGCAACCCTTTTAATATACTAGCTCTGAAAACAGGCAGGAGTCTCCTGCTCTGCGTGTGGGCTGTGACTGAGGCAGAGCTCCTTCCCAAAAGTGAGGCCAGGGATGGATTTTTCATGTCTGGAAGGAAGTGCTGCCAGGCTGGTGCCCTCTGTGAAGCCACAGCTCTCACTGCTCCCCATGGGGAGCAGGAGGAGAGCTCCCAGGGCTGCTCCCCAGCAGGGCCCTGGCCACAGCAGGGTTTTCTCAAGTTTTAAGCTGACTTGGAAATAGCAAATGTAGCTGGGTAATGTCTGTTGAGCAGAACAGAGTGATTGGTTTGGAATGACTTCTGCACTTTATCTCTAGTCTTAAATGTTTTCTGATTTTCCTGCTTTGAGGCAGTACAGTGCTGAGGGTACCAGGTGTTGTCTGGGGACTGATATGCTCCAAGTAAACATGCCCATAGAGAAAACTGGGTTTAAATTCAGACTTTTGTACATTAAAAAAGTATAGTGCTCTTAAAAGAAATCAAATTGATTCATGTGCATCATTTAGGATGCTTCGTGTGCATCCTAAAGCAAAAATGGAACACAGGGTAGTTTGAGCAGATAATTCAGTGAATCCTGTGATAGTTGTGCATGGGAGAAATCAGTAATATCTTCTTCCCTTTGTGAAACTAAGTGGAAAGTGGGTTTGTGACCTTGAAGTAATGGGGCATGTTGAGGAGTCACTTGTTTCTGTTGGGATGTTTGCTGGTGTCTCAGGGTAAGGATGATCTGTGCTGGGATAGCTTTCAGAGGCTTGTGGTAGAAGAATATTAGTTTTGCTACTGATAAGCCTCTGTAACTCAGGGGCTGTTTAATGTTTGAGGAGAGTACTGGAAATGTCATAAACTCCCTCTCAGTCACTTTGCTAATTGCTTACCTCACCAGTTCTGCTCTCACTTCAAAACTTTCCCATAGTGTTTCTGCAGGTTCAAATAAGAGTGGGGCAGTAGTGAAAGGAATTTAGAAGACAGCACATCAAAATCAGTCCAGGAAAGCAGTTTTGTTCTAGTCTCCAAATTTGAACTCCAAAACTAATTAGCATCATATACTTCAAACTTTACAGCTTTTATCCCTGCATCATCTGATGAAATATTTGCCTGGCTAGCAGCAGTGTGGGTAAATGTTTACCTGCCATTGTACTCCAAGTGGTTTGTTGGCTTTGCTGCCATCTGCCTAAAGCCTGACAGACGTTTGTGTCCCGTATCTCTCTGCCCCTTGGTTAGGATGGTTCAGTGGCAATTGCTTCTTTATTGCCACCTCCCAGGTGTAATTAGGGCCTGCAGCAGTGAATAAATACTGGCTGTTCCAAGGTGCAGTCCCAAGGGCACTGGAGGCAGGATAATCTGGAGGTGCTGAGGCTTCTCCTTGCCCTCCCGTCCCTGCAGCCACACTCCCCCCTGCCCCTCGTTTTTCACACGCTGGTGCCTCTGCACAGACCTGCCTCAGGCTGCTCAGCTGGACCCATTCCCTTTTCTGTTTGGTCTTTCCCCCTTTGGCAGCGGGGGAAGCCCAGCTGAGGCTCCTGAAGGACCTCTGAAAGCTGGGCATGGGGGCAGGGAAGCATGGCTTGGGCTGGCACAGGGCTGGTTCCTGCTGCTGGGGCACCTCGGGTACGTCAGCACGTGCTGCCCACGGGCAGCACACCCAGCTGGGCTCTGGAAGCCACGGGCCTTCCCTGGTGTGATCAAAGGCCTCAGAAGCTGAAAACAGAGAAGTGTCTTAGACTGGCAATAAAACCTTGTCAGACTTTTAAAACAGGGCTTCATTTCTGGATGGTGCTGATGTAACTCAAGTTGTGTTGTTGCTTTAATACAAGTTGTAATTTTGTGTTGATTTGCTTCACACCTTACAGTGCTATTTTATTTCTGTTCTGTTTGCAGCTGATATTATTTCAACAGTTGAATTTAATTACTCTGGTGATCTTCTTGCAACAGGAGACAAAGGTGGCAGAGTGGTTATATTTCAAAGGGAACAAGAGGTCAGTGACTTGAAAAACAAAAGTGCTCTTCCTACACTGCTCTTGTGTTGCACGGTCTCGTGTTGTCTTTTCATGCCTGAGGTTTAAATGTCTGGATAGTTTTCTCAGAAAGCCTCAGGTTAGTCACACTCCTAGATATCTGCCCTGTGCTGAACGTGGTAGGTTAGTTTGGTGGTGGTCTCCCCTTCCCTGAAAATAAAGTCCCAAAAATACAACTGAGTTCTTTACATATGCTCAGAGTTCTTTATGTATGTACCTGGTATGCTCAGTACCATCTTTGGGAAGTGGCTTTGGACTTTCTCCTGAACTTTACACTTGGTCAGGTTGTTTTAAGGCAAAGGGTAATGCTTTTGAAGAGAAGGTAAGAAAAGTTTACTGATAAGGATATGAGTTAAGCTGCAAGGACAACAGGATAAGATGGTTCAAAAACTGAATTAAGCATCTGATGTGTTCTGGAGTCTTGTGAATCAAAACCAGTGGGAACAGCTACTTCTCCAGAAACACCTGAGCATTTTCAGTTCAGGAAGGAAACTCTGAGCTTCAGTGTGGGCAAACTGTCCCCCCTAGAGCTGTGCAGCTTCTCAGCTGTCCCCTCACAGTGGCCTTCAGCTGTGTGCAGTGCTGTGACACTGCATCCCTCCAGCAGTGCAGGTCCACCCCTGAGCTTAGCCCTGGCAAATGGGGTACTGCAGAAGGCACTAAATGCTGAAAATTGGCTGTCACACCTTTCATGTCTGGGAGAAGGCTGGAATTGTGTTCTTTAAAGTCAGTATTCCACATGGCAACTCCCACCCTCTCCCCACCACCCGACAGCACATTCCTCCTTCCCTTTGGAGAGCTGCTGAGAATTTAAGCCTTTAGTTCTGAGCCTTCTCCTGGATCAAAAGTACCCAAATTGATCATGACAGTTTAATTTGGACCATTTGTGCACGAGGTACACACACCTTCAGGTGCTGTGGGTTTTTTTTTGTACACACCTTCAGGTGCTGTGGGTTTTTTGGCAGAATCCCACTGGTTTTGTGTGGCTGTAACAGAGCTCGGTTCACACACAGCCCCCCAGTATTTTGCTTTCCATCCTCCCTGTGGGGCTGTTTATGGAGCACCTTACCAGAGGTGACCTCCCAGGTCTGCTGTGGGTGTTTTGTGAGGCAGTGAAACGCAGACACTGCTGCTGAGAAAGCTGCTGCCATGTTACACCCCTCCCCATGGACAGCTCCTGGCTCATCCATCCTTCACCCTGCCGTGGGCTGACCCGAGGGCTGGAGCCACCCAGGCCAGAGGTGTCCACCTGCTTCCCTGGGGCCTGCCTGGAGTGGGACTGTTACTGGTTGGCTTTCAGCTGCCAGTGCTCATTCTGTAAGTCAAAACCCAGCTGTCACTTCCTCATAGTGTAAGACAAAAGAAACTAAACCCAAGTCAGACTCTTCTAGAGGAGTGTTGACCTGTCACTGGGACTAGGGGTCCCTTCTCCTATGTGCCAAATGGCCCAATTTCTGGAGTGGAGGAAAAGAATCTAAACTAAGTATTTAATACTGGAGCCTTAAGAAAATCTTACAACCAGTATTTTTAAAGAGTGGATTTTAGGCTAGGTTGGTAACAACTTGGGATAGTTACAAGGTTTCCCACACAGTTTGGTTTGGGAGGGTGGGTGAAATGCTGTGCAGGGTGTCCTGAACTCGTATGACACTGGCTCCAAGCAGCTGAGTATTCCCAGCAGCTGTGAGTCCAGGGTGAGGCCGCTGCCTGCTGCCAGCCAGGGCAGCTCAGATGGCCAGGGGGGAATGCAGGTAGCTGCCCTCCAGAGTGCTGGTCGAGAGGGCCCTGTCCACATTGCTTAGCAGTTAAATGACAAGGAGAATAATGTTGAGTCCCTGAGTTAGTTAGAGCTCCATGCTCGTGAGCCAGCGCAGGGGAAAGGCCCGAGCTGAAGTAGCCCCACCAAAGCCACCAAGGGAAGAGGTGTCAGAGCAGAGGTTGGCCTGGTGGCCTCCAGGGACAGGAGTCACTGCTGGCTTTTCCAGGGCAGGCTCTTCCCAGGGCCTGGCAGGGCAGCTCAGCAGGCCCCCAGCAGCACGCTGGAGAAGCCTGGGAGCTGTTTGTCTCACGCCTGGGACTGGGGTCAGGGGGTGCTCCCATCCTCAGTCACTGGGCCTCACTCCACAGCTCCCAGGTGAGGGTCGTGCCTGTAGCCCTGTGAGGGGAGGATCCAGCAGCGTGTTTGTGGAAGCCTTTGGTACATCATGATGAGCACTGTGGAGCAGTTTGTGGCAACTCCAGCCTCCAGGCCTTTAGTAGCAGCTGAAGAAGGCACTGGAAGCCTGGGGAGCAGCCGTGCTCTCTGAACTGCCTCCCTGTGCTGTGTCCTGGAACCCCTGGGTACACAGTGCAGTTTTGAGGAGGAGGTCTGGGCACTGCATTGCTGCTGGACTGGGTGGGGTATCACAGAGCAACAATGCCAGATTCATCAGGGTCTGTTGTTAAAAGCTGACTTTGGGGCTGACAGTTTCTAGCCGTTAGTTTGTCCATACCATTCCTAATCAAACCAGTAACACCAGCTCCAAAACATGTTGTTTCCTTACAGAGCAAAAGCCGTCCTCATTCCAGGGGAGAATACAATGTTTACAGTACCTTTCAGAGTCACGAACCTGAGTTTGACTACTTGAAAAGTCTAGAAATTGAGGAAAAAATTAATAAAATTAGGTGGTTACCACAACAGAATGCTGCTCATTTCCTGCTGTCTACAAATGGTAAGGACACTTCATTTTTGCACAAAGAACTTCTTATGTCATTTGAATGTTCTCTCACCTGTGATCCACGTGTGGGTTTTGATTTGGTTGGTTGGTTTGGGTTTTGTGTTTTCTTTTTCCTGGAGTGTCTTGGGGTTGTTTTAATGACTTTTCTAATTCTGTGTAAAATATGTTTTGCTGTGTGAATGACCAGTTATGACTATAAGGAGGGATGGGTGGCAGCAGAAGAGGCAGAGCCCAGCTCTGTGCCCATGCCAGAGACCTGCCTGCCCTGCCACTGCTCTCTGGCTTGTCTCAGTGGGTTCCCAGTGTGCTGAGCTGCTGCAGAAGTCTGAGTTTGACTCAATCCTCCTCCTCTTGAAATCTGACTTTTTGTGATCCGACGTGAATTTGTAATAAAAACGTTTGAAATTGAAACCCTGTGGTTACAATGCTCTCTTTGCTTTTCCAACACCAAAACGTCACGTGTGCTTTGAAAAGCAACTGTTTAAAAGCTACCAGTCGTTCTGGGAGGGACCTATTTATACCATGTTCACTGTCTACATGAGGGCACATACAGGCAGCACAGAAATTCCAAGCTGGAAATCACAAGTTTTCACACACTAGTTTTGTTTTGTTTTTTAAAATTTCTTGCAGTATTTTAGTACCAAGTCTGTGTGAGTATTAGGTCTGTTTCATTCTGAGGCATCGTGGAGCAAGCTGTAAATGTAAATGCAGAACTGTGCAGGGGAAAACTTGCTCTTCTTGTCCAGGCAATACACTTGTTCCCAAGGGTTTGGATCACTTTTTGCCTTGTGCTTCAGTGACTTTATGTACAGGCTGATACACTCCCTACTATATGAAACTTTAAAAGAGGGAGTGGCTTCTGTCCACTGGACCTGGAAATCAGAATTATCTCACTTTGATACAAGTCTGACTAACGTAAAGCGGTCTCGAAACCATGTCATCTGAGATGCTCTAAAGCTGCACAGCAGTCTGGGGAGGAGAGATGTGTTTGCACTTAGCTAAGGACTCACTCTTGGAGTGGACTTCTTCCCTTGGAAAGGCTTCCCCTGGCAGGACCTGGGAGGTACCTGCCCCTGGACACAGAACCCCCATCACAGACAAGTGCTGCTCTCGCTCACTGCCTCTGGCTGCCTCTGAGCAGGCACCTGGGACAGCCTGGGTTTCCTCCAGGTGCTCAGTGTAAGGAATTCATGGGCTTGTTGGGTCTCTCCCCTGGCTTTTGTGCATGAAGAACAGTTTAGCCAGTCACAGGGGCTTCCTGGCCCAGGCTGGTAGGTGGTGTGGAGCCCTTGTGGGGCTCAGCTCGGCGGGTGACACGCAGGGGCCCTCGCTGCTCGGGCAGGAGCTGCTGTGTCAGACAGCATCACACTGGAGCTCAAAGGAATCTGGCTTTTTTCCTCTCCATTTACTGTTTTTTTCACGCATTTCCCATCCAGACCCTCCAAGCACATGTGTCTGGTGTACTGTTTGTTCTCCATGTGTCAGTCCTGCTGCACAGCCTGGCTGCAGGCAGAGCACCCGCAGCCTGCGTGGTCTGGGCACTGCGCTGTCGTTCAGAGGGCTCCATCAGGGTCCCTCCTGCTGCAGGCAGTGGAAACCAGAGAGATAAATAATACCCACTCTGCTGACTCCATTATTGAGTGATTTTATTTTGAATTTAATTCATTCTCAAGCATGTGAATTTTTGGTTTTAGATAAAACTATTAAATTATGGAAAATAAGTGAAAGGGATAAAAGAGCCGAAGGTTATAATTTAAAAGATGAAGATGGAAGACTTAGGGATCCTTTCAGAATCACAGCACTACGGGTATGTTTCTGCTCTTTGACTTCAAATATCATTTTGCATGCACTTCTACCTTTGTAGTACCAAAGTTGCCAACTTGAAATGTGTAGATTAAAAATGATGTTTTGGTCAGGTCGTTACAAAAAATGAAAAACTCTTCATTGTGTGCAGATAGATACAGGTACAGCTGTTACCTGAGGGCCCTCTGGGAAACTCGAGGAAAACCTTCATGATTATAATGTATTGTGAGCATCCCAATAGTTTGTTAGGCTTTATTTTTAATCTTGGAACAGCATATTTTAAATGTCTAATCCATTTAAATGGGGGGAAGGGTGTAATTGTTTTCTAAGAGACAGCCTTCATCCACTTCAGTGTATCCAAATAGTAGAAAGATACACAGAGTTATTGACAGCAGTCAGATAGAGCTGGATTTTGTTACTCAGACCTGAAAGTACTGAGGTTTGGAGTGTCCCTGGCTGGGGCTGCACTGCCCTGTGCTCCATTCATCCAAAGCACAGGCTCATCCTGCTGTGTTCCTAGAGCAGCCTCGCTGAGCGTGGGGGGGAGCACAGGGGACAGGGCCATGGCTGAGCCCTGTACAGCATGCTGGCCACAGAGCATGGTGCTGTGGGGCCTGGCCCCTCACCACTGAGGCTCTGCCAGGTGCCCAGGGTAACCTCCATAACCCCAGTGCCCCGTGGGCACCGGTGGCTCAGGTCCTTCTGCTGGCCTCTCTGGGCTGGGGAAGATTCTGGCTTTCTTTGCATTGATAAGTATTTTTCTTTTTTTTCCCTCAATAGTGCTCAGATTTCATTTGTTTGATCTTTTTTCTAAGAACAAGACTCAAAAATGGAAATGTGGTGCTGGGCATTCCATGGCTAGCGAGGTGGTGGTTTTGTTGGGCAAGTTCTGAGCATTTGTTAATGTCGTGTCAAATGTACACTTGAACAGCCTTGGCATTTTCTGCTTGCATAGTGATGTAGTGGTAGGGTTAGAGCTCCAAAGTTGGGATCATTTAGAGCAGGAGCTCAAGAAAGCAAATCACATGGGGCTGGGCTTTCTCTAGCTGGTTTTCTGAGTTGCTAGGATGAATAGGAATGGAACTGAGACTCTCTGCTTCCAAAGCCAGCACCATTCCTGACACCTGTAGGGACTGGACAGTTGCAGAGTTTTGTTGGGGTCTTTTTTCCTTGTTTTTGCCTAAATTAAATATTGAACCGAAGCTTTAGGTGTACACGAGCCTAACGTATAATCACATTTGGAAAGGAGATCTGCTTCCTCTGGAAAGTCTTTCTACTCAGCATGGAGGAGCCAGGATCTAATTGAGTATTCCAGTGAAAATACCTAAAACCAAGGAGTGATGATGCAATGCCTCAACCCAGTGGCTGGAACTAGGCACAGATGAAGTTTTGAGTTCTACAGCCTTGCCCTTACACAGGATAGACACTGTGGAGAGTCCAGACTGTGGCCTGGCCCTCTATGGGCTCTGTCACTGCAGGAGGGCATCAGCATCTGCTCTAAACCCTGCCATATGTGTAAGAACCATAAAGCTGAGTAGGGTGAGGCAGCAAAAAGCAAGAACCTCTCTCTTAAAAGCTAGTCTTCCAAATTTGCAGCTTTTCTGGGAGGGGAAGGTCGGGCTGAGCTGCAGACCTTGCAGAGCTGCGTCTGACACGAGACGATGAGGGACTCAGCCAAGGCTGAGCAGCCCCTGGCAGAGGGGAGAAAGCCTTGCCTGGAGTTACTGCCCTGTGTTGAAATGATCAGGTTTTAGAGATCTAGAGCACACCTGCCCTTGGACGTGGGCTTTCCTGGGCTTCGGCCTCCTGTTGGGGAAACAGAGTCCAGGTTTGTTTACAGAGGTAGGCGGGGGAGAAGCGGCACTTCAGAGCTGCAGCTTCAGAGCCCTGCATCCCGAGCTGCCCCTGCTGCTGCCCCCATGGGGCACTTCCCGTTTCACCACCAGGCAGCAACACGCACGTGGCGAGAGGGAAAGCTGCCTAATGAGAAGTCGTGGATAATTTTAATCATCCCAGTGTGATGCAAACAGACCGTGCGATACGACCACGGCGAAGGCAGCTGCAGGGCTCTTGGATTATTTGTTCCTTGTTCCAGGAAGACAGATTGTCTGGGCCACTGTCATAACTTTGTTCTTGGTGGGCTGATGTGAGTCAGGGAACCTTAACCTGTTGGTGCTGCTCAGAGAGCAGGTGGGGTCACCCTGAGATAGCCAGCTGGGGGAGCAGGGCGCCCCAGCCACACCCAGGTGAGGGGTTCCTCTGCAGGCGTGTTACCCCTCTCCCGGGCACCCCGCTGAGGCAGGGGTGCTGTAAGCACTTGTGTCAGAGGAGGCACCCCCAGCTCTCCCTGGGAGTACCCCTGAGTGCTGCTGGGCTGCTGCAGGAGGCCCTGCCCCTCCTGCTGTTGGTGGAGTGCGAGGTCAGGGCTGGTTGTCACTCCCCTGGCTCAGTGGATTTGGAAGGTGCCTGGTCACTAAATCAAAGCAGAGAACTGTGGCGTGCAATTAATTAATCTCTTCTGAAACAGGAATCAGTTTAATGCCAAAATTGACTGTTCTTTCTCGTGTTTCAGGTGCCAATATTGAAACCCATGGACCTAATGGTAGAAGCAAGTCCCAGAAGGATATTTGCAAATGCACACACTTACCACATAAACTCTATTTCAGTAAATAGTGATCATGAAACGTACCTTTCTGCAGACGACCTAAGGATTAACCTATGGCATTTAGAAATCACAGATAGAAGTTTTAGTATCCTTGCTTTGTTCTCCCTGGACGGTGGGGCACAGCTAAGTTGTGTATGCTTAAGAGGATCACTGTAATTTTACTAATTAGAGTAGGATTTTGACTGTGGGGATTAAAATAGAGGATTTTAAAGCCTAGAGTCTAATTTGGTGAAAACGGGCCTTAGGATGCTCTCATTCACTCCAGAGCACAGGAGTCCTTCCAACAGAAAGCTGCCAGTAGGAATAGCAACGTTTGATTTCTAAAATGGATTTGAGGAATTTTGGAAATGCCCTTTATTTGTGGAGATCAGTTGAAAGATTTCAAAAGTAGATCCTTTGTTACTGTCGATGCTTCTTTCCAAAGTTCAAGGTCTCTTCACTGAGTGACACTTCTCTTAAGGAAAACCATTTTTTTTAATGTCAAATGATATTGACTGCAGAAATAAGTTTTGAATCTTTTTGCAAGCCTGTGTATCCAGAACTCATACTGTCTGACACCGACAAATCTGCAATAAGGTAAAAGTGGTGGAAATACACAATATTAAAATAGGCAAATTGTTAAAGCTTTAGGTAAACAGATGGAGCCTGTTCAGTGTTCTGTGGGAAGCATGACGGAGGAGGCCTGAGAGGAGTCTGAGATCATGCCCAGCACCTGCTAAAGTTCATTTGGAGGGTCCAGGGGCTGGTTTTTGTTTTTACAGCTCGGGTCACGTTGCTTTGTGTAGGTGCACAGGGTGTAAACTCAGCTCCCAGGGCGTTTCCCTCAGGGTGGCCATGGGGTGTCTGGGGAAGCGTTACGTGCCTTTACGAGAGCGCCCAGACATCGTGGACATCAAGCCAGCCAACATGGAGGAGCTGACGGAGGTGATCACGGCGGCGGAGTTCCACCCGCACCACTGCCACGTGCTGGTGTACAGCAGCAGCAAGGGCACCGTGCGGCTCTGCGACATGCGCTCCGCCGCGCTCTGCGACCGCCACGCCAAGTGTGAGTCGGGCCCCGGCCCTCCGTGTGCCACGGGCTGATGGCAGCCAGAGCCCCTGGCGCCAGCGAGACCTCTCTCCTGGTCCCACTGCTCCCCAAAGGCACCTGCTCAGCCAGCGCCAGCTCGGGCAGCTCGGTCGCCTCTGTGCGTGAGGGGCTGGGCTGGTGCTCCCAGAGCCCGTGCACCGGCTGCCTGGGGTGCACCGGCTGCCTGGGTGCAGCTCCCAGGGTAGAGGTGATCCTCAGGAGCGTGTGCTGTGCCTGCCGCCCGCCCCGGGGGTGCAAGGTGAACGCTCTGTGCTCTGCTGAGCCCTGTAGGTGAGGAGGGCTTTGCTCAAGTCGTGGGGATGGCTGCCTGGGCCTCCACGCTGCTCTGACAGCTGTGGGTTACAAATACAGGTAGCACTGCTCGCCCCGTGGGTGACCTACTGGTGCTGTGCCCCAGTTGTGAACACTTGGAGACAGGCACATGGAAATCTGATGACTAAGAGCATAACAGTGTTTAAAATGAGATGATTTCTCAAAAGTATTAACAGTGATTTTCTGTAAAAAGAGGCTAGTACGTTTGATTTAAAATTTCCTAAGTACCGAAAAATGTTCCAAGCTGTAAAACTTGCTGTTGGTTTCTTTTGGAATTCTCTTCTCTGCAGTTTTTGAAGAACCTGAAGATCCTAGCAGCAGGTCGTTTTTTTCAGAAATAATTTCATCGATCTCTGATGTCAAATTCAGCCACAGTGGCCGATACATGATGACCAGAGACTACCTGTCTGTGAAAGTCTGGGACCTCAACATGGAGAACAGGCCCGTGGAGACATACCAAGTAGGGTGCTCGGTTGCCTTACACCTCCCTCCCCTTGTC